ACTCCACCAGAAACCTCAGTCCCTGTGACACTTCCTCCACACAACTGCACAGACAATGAATTTGTCTGCAGGTCCAATGGTCACTGTATTGAAAAAATACAGAAATGTGATTTTAGATATGACTGCACTGACAAATCAGATGAATCATCCTGTGGTAGGTGAATTTCTAAATTTTGTATAAAATATGGCTATAAAATAGTTAAGAAAATACTAGTGTAATCTCTAAGTAGCACAGCCTAGTGTCATACTTAGAAATTTTCAACATGGTTTAGAGCAATTTCTTAGTGAAAGAGTTAGTTGTATAGAAAAGCGTAGAAGAATCAGCATGCATTTTTCTTTCATGCCCAAGAACAGGTAAGTATCTTGAGATTAATGGTGTGGCTTCAAAACTATTGTTTTCATAGATTTGACTTTACTCTGGGACTAGCATTTAGTAGCTCTTCTATGTCCATCCTCCGTTGGTCTCCACTTCTCACGCTATCAAATAGGGAATGTTTAGGGAAAAAGCATTATAATACTCTCAGATTAATCCATTCAAATTTTGTCATTGCCAAAATGTATATATAACACGAATGGTATATCAACTATGCAGAGTTCAGGAGAAAACCAATTTTAATATGGATGGAACCTTCAACCCCTGTGTTCTGGTTTTCATATATCTTAACCTGCCAATTCAGTGGCTTTTCCTAAATAGATCAAAAGCAAATTGTTTAATTTAAGAGTGGACTTCTCAGGGAAAGATGCAATCTGAGGGGAGAAAAATTAATCTGTGTCTGAATGGGTGAAGCACCAGAACAGAAGGAGTAAACACTTTGTAATATCTTTTCCTTCCCTGCTCTTTAGGGAGTAGTGTGTGAATTTACTATACCATAGTAGTTCTCAAGTGTTTCGATAATACTAAGGGTTCAGAACATACGGTTAACACAAGAGAGAATTGTGTTACTCTTAGGTGTCTTATATCAGCCTTGGCAAGAAATTCTAGGGCTTAAGAATTTCAGTAAGGTTCATATCTGTTCTTGCCACCCAGAAAAGAAAAATGCTTCTTAATGTATAAATACATCATGAATTAACTATCTACTCTAGACCAAAAAAGTCATAAAATCAACACTGAAATGATGAAGTGATGACTCACTTATCAATGAGATGGGACAGTAACTAACTCAAGCTAGCCAGGGATTTATACCATGCATCACAGATGGAAAATAGCACAATGGAAGATGTTATCGTATTCAGA